CTCAGGCGAGGGCGCCGGTTTGGGATTCGTCACCGGATCCAGCGGATCCAGCGGATCCGTCCGGAAACGGTGCCGGAGGCCGCTCTGGGCTCCTCTGGGCATCCCCCCCGGGGCCCGTTTTGTGAGGATGTCTCAGGCGAGGGCGCCGGTTTGGGATTCGTCACCGGATCCAGCGGATCCAGCGGATCCGTCCGGGAAACGGTGCCGGAGGCCGCTCTGGGCTCCTCTGGGCATCCCCCCCGGGGCCCGTTTTGTGAGGATGTCTCAGGCGAGGGCGCCGGTTTGGGATTCGTCACCGGATCCAGCGGATCCAGCGGATCCGTCCGGAAACGGTGCCGGAGGCCGCTCTGGGCTCCTCTGGGCATCCCCCCCGGGGCCCGTTTTGTGAGGATGTCTCAGGCGAGGGCGCCAGGTTTGGGATTCGTCACCGGATCCAGCGGATCCAGCGGATCCGTCCGGAAACGGTGCCGGAGGCCGCTCTGGGCTCCTCTGGGCATCCCCCCCGGGGCCCGTTTTGTGAGGATGTCTCAGGCGAGGGCGCCGGTTTGGGATTCGTCACCGGATCCAGCGGATCCAGCGGATCCGTCCGGAAACGGTGCCGGAGGCCGCTCTGGGCTCCTCTGGGCATCCCCCCCGGGGCCCGTTTTGTGAGGATGTCTCAGGCGAGGGCGCCGGTTTGGGATTCGTCACCGGATCCAGCGGATCCAGCGGATCCAGCGGATCCGTCCGGAAACGGTGCCGGAGGCCGCTCTGGGCTCGTGCTCTTCGCGCCGGGGGTGAGGATGACGTGAGTTCCACAGAAACTCCCTCAAATGAAAACTGCCGGCTTCCCATCTGGTGGGAATACGGCTCCAGCATACCACAGCAGGCCGACGAGAAGTTGCACAGTGTGTGAGACGGGCAGCTGATCGAGTGGGCAGCGTGGCTACCAAAAACAGCCAGGGATGAGGAAGGAGGAGGTGGTGGGAGGTTATTGATTACGCGCTATCGCGTTGAAGGAGCGCGCGCCATTCTCTGAGCGACGCGATGAACAGCATGCAGCGACAGCGACGGGATTCGAACTCCAGCGGGCAGAGCCAAATTGCTTTTTAGTCCATCACATGAACCACTCATTCACAAGTTCCAAAGAGGAAGGGGGAGGAGTGGAGGATGACGAGAGAGAGGGGAGGAGGGAGGAAAGCAGGAGGAAAACGATCACAAAGCGCGCTGCAGGCTCAAAGGGTGCATAAGCCCATTTTCAGAGGGAAAATGACAATCCGAGAGTGACTGGTAACTGTTGCGGCCGTCAGGACATTCCAGGTGCACTAGTTGACTGACTGCGTGCCACTTCCTTGTAGCTGATGACATGGAAGGGAAAAACAACAAAACAAAACACAAACAAACAACACACAAAAACTGTCACTGGCTGAAGCAGCGGGGTGGGTGCCAGGGGGCGCGATGGATAGAATTAACAAGGGAGGCATGGATCTATGGACCTCCCAATCAGTTTTCGGCCATACGTCGAGATGTGGATCAAATTCCTGGCTGCGTGGACCTGGAGTCACCTCAATTTTTTTCGCGCGAGTTGATCGGCTTGCGTGAGCCGAATGAAAGAGAACGGTCGGCGAAGGGATTGGGAACAATCTGTTTTGCCCCCAGCCGCCCCCACCCCACACTCACGGACACAACACGCCAACGACAAGTTGCATGACTGATGCGATCCAGCCGCGTGGCTGGCGCCGAATAAGGTATGGGTGGAGGAAGGAGGAGGAGGAGGAGGAGGAGGAGGAGGAGGAGGAGGGGAAGGAGGAGGAGGAGGAGGAGGAGGAGGAGGAGGAGGGAGGAGGAGGAGCAAGATAAGGATGATAAGAAAGAGCAACACAGAGGAGAAGGAGGAGGAGGAAGAGGAGGAGGAGGCGGACGAGAGGGAAGAGGGGGAGGAAGCGGTCGAGGACAGCATGGAGTTCTGGCGTTTTCTGGCCGCTTGCCTGTTTGGGACAATTGGCACCACGAAGGTGGCGGGACAAGCGGGAAGATTCGAGTTGGATAACGGAAGGGAAGCAAGATGGAGCCGAATGAATTGCCCATACCAGCGAAGGCTTAACGCCACATCCTAGGAAGGACCGAATGGCCGCACACGGGAGGGGGAAGAGGGGAGGCAAAAGGGCAAGGCAAAAATTGCCGAGGGTATGGGGCTCCCAGTGCGTCCAGTTGGCTGACACCACGGCACCGCAGACGAAGAAGAGGACAGTAGACTAGAAAACTCTGGTATTCACCAGGACTCTTCGCCTCTCCATCTCCTCCACGAAATATGTCGAGGTCACGCCGCCCTCGCCGCCCACGGTAAACGTTTCCATTGCACCGAAAAGGTGGATCCACGATCGGTCGACGGAAACAAGCAACGTCGAGTCATGCTTGGAATCGATATTCTGGCCGTTGTGCGTTGTGCTAAAGCGAGGCGCAGCAGATCAGGCGCATGATCCTGCGATCCTTGTAGTAAAGGAGATCGCACTCGACGTAGTGGTTACAACGCGTCGAGAGGCGGAGTGCTAAAGATAATTTGGCGCGCTGGTGGCTGCCGCTTGCGGTATTCACAGTTGTTGACCACCGTGGGCATGAGGTCGAGGATGTACTGGAGAACGTTGGCCGCGCGGAGTGCCCACGCCATCTCCTCCTTAGCGGGCGGCCACCACTGGAGGCGCAGCTTGCGCAGCTCTCGCACGCGCGTCTCACGCGAGCCCCCCGCGTCTCATGCGAGCAACATAGTTGCAGGACCCATCGGCTGAGCACTCGCGCGGCCCATGAGGTCGCCCATTTCTGCCGTAGTCATCGTATCCCGGCGCCGCGGGGATCGGGCGACGACGATGGCGATGGCGCAGCAGCCCAACGCGACCACTGCACGGCTGCGACCGACCTGGCGCCGCGAGCCGTCGGGCGACAAAATTGGCGCGGCACCTGCCGCTGCTGCCGCTAGCCGCCGCGCTGCCGAGCCCAGTGATTTCCGCCCGCCAGCCCATGAATCAGCGCTCTGCGCGGGGTCGCTCTCGCCGGAGCCCGCGCTCATAGGCTGCCTGGGGCCGGCGGCGCCACTAGTCACGCAGACCGCGCGAGCGCCAGTCAAGGGCTGCTGCCCAGCTAGGCTCGGCGGCCCTTGCTGCCCCAGGTGCGCGAGGCGTGCATGCCAGCGGTCGCGGGGCGCAGGCCTTGGAGAAGAGAGCGCGCCGTTGGCCGCGGCGCCGGGAGCAGTCGCGCACGAGGCGTTCTTCTGACTCGCAGGCGCGGAATTTGAAACGCAGGGCTGCCTTGGCAGCCCGAACCCACGCCGCCGGTCATGAGCCCCCTTCCCCCTTATCCTTGCCCCCCCCCAAGTCCGCGAATGTTTCCCGGAGGTCGATCTCGGACAAATCGGCCAGGGAGGCTCGGAAACCTTTGCCGTGGCCCTTGCCTTCCCGCCCGACGGCCCTTCGGACGCGGCGCGCGGGATCGCGGTTCAGAACACGCGCGCGCCGCGCAGCTCCACGGGAACATCGCGTAGCTCGTGGTCGTCGGCGGCTATTTCTCCGGCGCCGAATGTGCTGACGCTGTCGGCATCGGCGCCAGAGTCGACGCCAGCTTTGGGAATGTGTCCTGCTCTGGCGGTGCTGTCGCAGATGCGCTCGACGCCGCTCCCAGCGCCGATGGGCCCAGGCTGCCCCAGCTCGATCCAGCTGCAGCGTCGTAGACACTCCGTCCGAGCCTGATCTTGCGCGGGCGCTCCCGCGAGGAAGACTTGCTGACGGGCCGAGTGGACCGCCGAGGCGGGTGTCGCAGCTGGCCGGTCATGCGCGCGAGCTGCGCTGCTTTGGTCGGGCAGGCCAGGTTGTAGCGCCGCAAGTTTAGCTTCGCGTTGGACGCCCCGACTGCGCGCAAGAGGAGGAAGCTGAGGCCCTCGCAGCCGATCATGAGCTGACCAGCGCACAGTTGCGGAGGATGCCGACACGCGCGAGGGGACTGTCGATGCGCTCCGGCGGCAGTGTGTTGAAAGTCATGGGTGCCGAGAACTGCCGAGGCGCGCTCCTCCACGCCCAATTGGCCCCACCGTCCAGCCAGACTGTGCATCAAACATGATGGACCCACGAACCCGGAAAGGGATAAAGACATGTGCAGCATGGTCACGTTTTCACGATACCCAACTGGGCGACATCTCACGAAACATCCCACGAGACACCCCGCGAAACATCCCACGAGACACCTCACGAAACATTCCACGAGACACCTCACGAAACATTCCACGAGACACCCCGTGAAACATTCCACGAGACACCCCACGAACAGGCAACCACTCAACCAGACACGCCACGAAACATTCCACGGGGTGCGACTGGGTGTGGTCGTGCTGGGGTGTGGTCGTGCTGGGGTGTGGTCGTGCTGGGGAGTGGTCGTGCTGGGGTGTGGTCGTGCTGGGGGGTGGTCGTGCTGGGGGGGGGTCGTGCTGGGGGGGTGGTCGTGCTGGGGGTGGTCGTGCTGGGGCGTGGTCGTGCTGGGGCGTGGTCGTGCTGGGGCGTGGTCGTGCTGGGGTGTGGTGGGGTGTGGTCGTGCTGGGGTGTGGTCGTGCTGGGGTGTGGTCTTGCTGGGGTAGGGTCGTGCTGGGGTCGGGTCGTGCTGGGGTGTGGTCGTGCTGGGGTATGGTCGTGCTGGGGTGGGGTCGTGCTGGGGTGGGGTCGTGCTGGGGTCTGGTCGTGCTGGGTGTGGTCGTGCTGGGGTATGGTCGTGCTAGGGTGGGGTCGTGCATTTCGCTCGAGACATCCTGCCAAAATTCCAGGAAATCGTACAAAAACAAACGAATTAGTCGAGACATCATCGAAATTCCTTCGCGCGGGGCGCTTTTCCGCGTCGCGGTCGGCTCTGCAAAACAAGCGTTTCGCTCGAGACATCCTCGGCAAACTCTGCGGAGCAAGCGTTTCGCTCGAGACATCCTCAACACACGAAAAAGTGGCCCGCACCCTGTGATTTATCGATCGGGATTTCAAAAACAAGCGTTTCGCTCGAGACATCCTCAAATTTTAATCCGCCGGCCTCCTTCGACCTCGATATTTATCAGGGAAAAAATCCGCCGGCCTCCTTCAAGTTGGCACCGGGGGATAGGTTTACCAACTAAAAGAGAACCCTGGGCTCGAGCCCTTTCCGGGAAAAAGTCGTCGCGCGCCGGGTCGCCGCTGATGCGGCCTCCCTGGATCAGGACAGCAGGCGGCCACTCGTCCGAGCACTCGCGGGCCATGCCGGCGAGGCGAGACGCGACATAGGCTGCCCGGCAGGACTCGTTGAGATCCGAGTTCGCCACTGACCAGAGGAGGAGGAGGAGGAGGAGAAGGAGGAGGAGGAGGAGGAGGAGGAGGAGGAGGAGGAGTGGCATCCATGTTTGGAAGGGCGCCCGAGACTGCTGCTCGGCCCCCCCAGTGCCGAGGTGTCGCACGTTGCCGCCGCCGCTAGCTGCGTCCATGCCCACTCCGATGGCTTTTCCATCGGCCTCTTTAGAAGTCCTGGCGGTGCTGGAGGCCGGGGCCCACAGACGGCGTTGCTCTGACCTTGAGCCTCGGAGCCGTCGTAGGTCACTGAGCCGTCCGTGCTCTTTTTCGTCAGCGTAATTTTTTCGCAATCTTCTGTCGTGTCGTTGTGGCGGGCCTCGCACCCGGGACATCCCGCAACACAGTTACGGGCACGCCCTTCGTGCGTCGCGTCATTATGACCTTGGCCGCACCCGTGACATCCCACAACATAAATGTGGTAATGCACTTCGTGCGCCGTGTTGTCACTGTACGGAATACCATCAACTGTACGATCGCCAAGAAGAGCGCGCACCAGCTCAGGCCCTCTTTACGCAGACGAGGTGCATGAACACAGAAAATATGATGAAGGATGCTGGCGGCGTCGCGCCCTGGCAAGGTGGAGGTGCCGCGCGGGCCATGGGGGTCAAAGATAGTGGAAGGGAGCTGGAGCTCCGTTACCAACTAGAAAACGAGATGTATGATAGACGGATGCTTTTGTCCTGAGCGGACAGGTCAACACGGTTGTGTGACTAAAACGCAACTAACACGGACATGGAAGCTGGCCAGCTTCCGTACCCCAGGGCCAAATGGAGGCGGAAGAGGCAAACATTCCCGAGGGCAGAAAACAAGGATACATAAGAGACCTACCGTTCGAACAGGAGGAGGAGGAGAAAGAGAAGGGGGTCGACAAATGAGGAGGATGAAGAGGAAAGGAGGAGGAGGAGGAGGAGGAGGAGGCGGATGAGGATGAGGATGAGGATGAGGATGAGGAGGAGGAGGAGGAGGAGGAGGAGGAGGAGGAGGAGGAGGAGGAGGAGGGAGGAGGAGGAGGAGCAGGAGGAGGAGGAGGGCTAGGGGGAGGAAGAGTGGGGGTCGAGGGGGAGGGAAGCGGGGATCGATTGAGAACTGCCTGGAGCTCGGGAGTCGCCTGGCCGGACTGGCCGAGCTGGCCGACACCACGGCGCCCCCGCCGAGGCCGAGGCATGCGTCCCTTGGGCGGCGGCAGCGCGCGCCGCGAGCATACGGCGGGGCCGGCCTTTAACTCCGTCATGCCGCTGGTGCCCACGAGCACCGACAGGGTGAGCACAAGACTCGTGACGTTCTCGCGCGCGGGGGCGGCACGTCGTCGTCGCCCTCGTCCTCTTCCTCCTCCTCCTTCTCCTCCTCCTCCTCCACCTCCTCCTCCTCCTCCTCCCCTCTTCCTCCTCCTCCTCCCTCCTCCTCGCTCCTCCTCCTCCTCCTCCTCCTCCTCCTCCTCCTCTCTCCTCCTCCCCTCTCCTCCTCGTCCTCCTCCTCCTCTTCCACTTCCACTTCCACCTCCTGCTCACCCTCCTCCTCCTCCTCCTCTGCCTTCGCCTCCTCCCCGTCCTGTTCAACTCCCCACCCGGAGAGAGGAGGAGGAGGAGGAGGAGGAGGAGGAGGAGGAGGAGAGGAGAGGAGGAGGTCGAGCGTGCCCAATGGAGGATGAGGAGGAGGAGGAGGAGGAGGCGGAGGAGGAGGAGGAGGAGGAGGAGGAGGCGGAGGAGGAGGAGGGAGAGGAGGAAACGGCGGAGGAGGAGAAGGAGGAGGGTCAAACGCAGCGCCACTGCTGGCGGTCATCCTGGAACCCGGCGGCGAGTCGGCACAAGCACCAGCACGGCGTCGGGCGTCCGCGCGTCGGCTCGAGATCGCGCTCCCATCAGCCACGCTTCTCTGCTCCCGGGCACGACGGGGGATGAGGGTGAATAGGGTAGGGCGACGAGATCTATCCTTAGATGCTCGTTCTGGGGACCTTCCTGCAGTCACTCGCTCCACTCGTGCGTCGAAGCTGCGTCGAACCTGAGTCGAACATGAGTCGAACCTGAGTCGAACCTGAGTCGAACCTGAGTCGAACTTGAGTCGAACTTGAGTCGAACCTGCGTCGAACAGATCCATTAGGTGGCCCCCAGGAAGGTCCCCAAAACGAGCATCGAACTATCCTCTGCCCCAGGCCTGGCCCATCCTGGGCCCAAGAGCGCCGTCGTCGCCTCCCTGGCCACGCCAGGAGGGCGTGTACACCGCTCCCAGGCCGGGACGGGTCAAACCTGGGGCGGTGGACATGGATTAGATCTCGTCGCCCTATGGGCGGGATGTTGAGGAGGACAGGAGGAGGGTGAACACGGCAGGGGCAGAATTGAGAGGAGAGGAGGACGGGGAGGAAGGTGAATAGCACGACGTGGCGGAGGAAGTTCAGGAACACGGGGAGGTCGAGTACGGAGGGAGGGGCGAGGAAGAGGGCCAGGAAGGGGAAGAGAGAGAGGGGAGGGGGAGGGCAAGGAGGAGCAGGAGGAGTGGGAGAAGGAGGAGTACGAGTAGGAGAGAACAGGGAAGGCACGCGGGATGTAAAAAGTAAAGCGCCAAGTTACAGTACCGCACGAAGCATCGGCCTTGACAAGAGGGCGACGGGGAGCGGTGAGAAGGTCTAGTACGAGGGGCGGGAGGATGAGGAGAAGGAGGGGGAGGAAGGAGGAGGTAGTAAAACAACTGTTCGAAGAAGGGCCCCGAGGTGGGCGACACTCAGCGCGGCATCAACTTCGGCGCCCGGAAGCGGAAAGCAGTATACCGTTATGCCACCATCCATGTGTATATTACGATCACCCTCTCTTTGTTTATGTTGTTTTCTCTCTCTGTCTATAGATGTCACTCTCTATCTATATATACATAGACATACACCGTACGCAAACCTGAATAAATATACATATGTGTGTATGTGTATATTTAGGTGTTCATACCCAGATACATGTGTATACACACATGTGTATATGTATACAAATGTGTGTGTGTGTTGCTATCTCCCTTTTGCATATGTCCCATCCTACTCGTATCAACCCCGCGTGCTCCTCATCCTGATTGCTCATCCTCCCTCTCCTCCCGCACGTCCTGACGGAGCATCAGCGACATGGGGGGCACGTCACACCTGAGTGCGGCAAAATGCGGATGCATGCTCTAGAGGAGCATATACATGTAAAGGAGGGGAGGGAGGGGGGGCAGAGATGGAAGGGGGATGGGAGGGAGGGAGAGGGGAGAGGTCACTTGCGGGATGTGCTGGTTTTTGCGGGAACATCCTGGGACGAGAAAGATGCAGGGACTGGTTGGACTGAGGGAAGGGATCTGGAGGCGAGAGGAAGGTCCATCCGGGCCCCGTCAGACTCTAACCTTCTTTTGCGCCTCCTCTGGCGACGTGGGCCACCAACGCGCAGTCAGCGAACGGCATGCGTGAGCACGAGCTGCAAACGAACCTTTGGGGACGCCAACAAGTACCGATACCGCTACTCCCCAGACCTCTCCCGGGGTGCGTTCTGACCAGGATCTCGAGGCGAATCCAGCGGTGGCGACGAGGGCTCCCCAGGAGGCCCCAAAAAGGGACATGATGGACCCACGAACCCGGAAAGGGATATAGACATGTGGAGCATGGACACGTTTTCATGATACCCAACTGGGCAACACCTCACGAAACATCCCACGAGACACCTCACGAAACAGCCCACGAGACACCTCACGAAACATTCCACGAGACACCTCACGAAACATTTCACGAGACACCCCGCGAAACATTCCACGAGACACCCCACGAAACATTCCACGACGACAGGCAACCACTCAACCAAGGCGGTGTGGTCGTGCTGGGGAGTGGTCGTGCTGGGGTGTGGTCGTGCTGGGGGGTGGTCGTGCTGGGGGGTGGTCGTGCTGGGGGTGGTGGTCGTGCTGGGGGGTGGTCGTGCTGGGGCGTGGTCGTGCTGGGCGTGGTCGTGCTGGGGCGTGGTCGTGCTGGGGCGTGGTCGTGCTGGGGCGTGGTCGTGCTGGGGTGTGGTCGTGCTGTGGTAAGGTCGTGCTGGGGTGCGGTCGTGCTGGGGTGTGGTCTTGCTGGGGTGGGGTCGTGCTGGGGTGTGATCGTGCTGGGGTGGGGTCGTGCTGGGGTGTGGTCGTGCTGGGGTGTGGTCGTGCTGGGGTGTGGTCGTGCTAGGGTGGGGTCGTGCTGGGGTGGGGTCGTGCTGGGGTGTGGTCGTGCTGGGGTGTGGTCGTGCTGGGGTGTGGTCGTGCTGGGTGGGGTCGTGCTGGGTCGTGCTGGGGTTCGGCTGGGGTGCTCCGACCCTGTGATTTATCGATCGGGTCGTGCTGGGGTGTGGTCGTGCTGGGGTGTGGTCGTGCTGGGGTGTGGTCGTGCTGGGGTGTGGTCGTGCTGGGGTGTGGTCGTGCTGGGGAGTGGTCGTGCTGGGGTGTGGTCGTGCTGGGGGGTGGTCGTGCTCGGGGGTGGTCGTGCTGGGGGGGTGGTCGTGCTGGGGGGTGGTCGTGCTGGGGCGTGGTCGTGCTGGGGCGTGGTCGTGCTGGGGCGTGGTCGTGCTGGGGTGTGGTCGTGCTGTGGTGAGGTCGTGCTGGGGTGTGGTCGTGCTGGGGTGTGGTCTTGCTGGGGTAGGGTCGTGCTGGGGTCGGGTCGTGCTGGGGTGTGGTCGTGCTGGGGTATGGTCGTGCTGGGGTGGGGTCGTGCTGGGGTGGGGTCGTGCTGGGGTCTGGTCGTGCTGGGGTGTGGTCGTGCTGGGGTATGGTCGTGCTAGGGTGGGGTCGTGCATTTCGCTCGAGACATCCTGCCAAAATTCCAGGAAATCGTACAAAAACAAAGGAATTAGTCGAGACATCATCGAAATTCCTTCGCGCGGGGCGCTTTTCCGCGTCGCGGTCGGCTCTGCAAAACAAGCGTTTCGCTCGAGACATCCTCGGCAAACTCTGCGGAGCAAGCGTTTCGCTCGAGACATCCTCAACACACGAAAAAGTGGCCCGCACCCTGTGATTTATCGATCGGGATTTCAAAAACAAGCGTTTCGCTCGAGACATCCTCAAATTTTAATCCGCCGGCCTCCTTCGACCTCGATATTTATCAGGGAAAAAATCCGCCGGCCTCCTTCAAGTTGGCACCGGGGGACAGGTTTACCCACTAAAAGAGAACCCTGGGCCCGAGCCCTTTCCGGGAAAAACGAGGGAAGGTAGCGGTATGGGTACCTCTTCCTCCTCTGCACTTTATGCCGAATGAGCTCGGGCCGAAGCCGCGGCGGACTCCCAGCGCACTCGCGCGCCCTCTCGCCGGCGGCGCGCACGAGGCCCCCGCCCTCCGCCGACCCCGGGGGCCGTCTCCCCGTGCTGCTGCCAGAGCTGCGTCCGCGGCGTGCGTGCTCGGCCGAGAGAACCTGCGGCCCTCTGGTCAGAAGAAGAATAAACGGCCCCCAAGAGGCCCCCAAGAGGCCCCCAAGCGGCCCCAGGAGGCCACCCAAATGCCCCCCCGAGCACGCAAGCAAGTGCCAGCGACGCTACACTATGGGCCGGCGGAATGAGCGAAGCGATTCAATAAACGCCATACACAAGAGTTTTTTGGCGCTCCGCGCGGATCCACAAGAAATCCGCGCGGGGCGCCGAGAGTTCGTGTCTGTGGCGGTTCGTCTTCTTCGACCGATGGCACCCGCGCCTGGGCGAGCAGCACGCCGCGATCACCAGAGGCGCTCGCTGCCTCCCGCAGCCTATAGCCTTCGTGAGGAGCGCCGAGCAGGGAACGGAGGAGCTCGTCTGGCCACGGCGAGCCTCGGCCACGGACGCGGTGCGCGCCCTAGATCCGAGGATGGGCCCGAAAGCAAAGGCCACTCCTAGACCCAAAGTTGCCCTCATGCAGTGTCTTGGCTGTACCGTACCTCCCACGGCCTGTGGAGCTCATCCTCCCCGGCCGACACGGGGCCAAAGCACGTCAAGCGAAGGCTGGCCTGTTTCCACACCGCCAACAACGATCCGCGGACACCCCCGTCAATATACATCCCAGCCGTTTCGCTGTTCCACGTCGCCGCCGTCAACTCGGCCGTAGTCGGCTTGCCGCTGGACAAGCTGCCCGCCCACCCTGTCCAGCGACAGCCGCCCGTGCTCCCAGAGCTTTTTTTTGCCGAGGGACCAACGAAGCGTCCGAACATCCGGAGAGGGTGACCGTCGAGTCAGCTGCCGAACACGATCTGTTTCACGGCTGCTGTGCCGACGCCTCCGCCGAAACCGTGACCCACAGCCGGAAGCGCCACCCCCACGCCCACCCACATCTAGGGCTCCCAACTTCGCGCTTCGCGCTACGCGAAGCGCGAAGCGCGAATAACTTCGCGCTCTCGCGCCGCCCTCCCAAAGGGAGAATAGGAGGACGAGGAGGAGGGGGAGAAGGAACGAGGACCGCGAAGCGCGAAGCGCGAATAACTTCGCGCCCTCGAGGGAGCCCTTGCCACATGCACTCCGACCACAAGAGCCTGGCCGTCGACCAAGGCGCGATGACCAGGCAGCGCAACAGACCGTCTCGGCCCCCGCCGCCGCCGAGCGGGAGGCCCGCGCGACCGCCTCGGACTGCCTGACCGATGCCCGCATCAACAGCGAGGTCGGAATGGAGGACCCCGCGGTCCCCGACAAGGTCACGAGCCCCCTCTACAACGGCGCTGGCCTTGCGCTCCAGCCGACGGCGAGGGGAGCGAAGAACGGAAGAGGGCAAGAGACGGAAGGGCGGAGAATGAAACGGGATGGGATAAAACGATGCATACGCACCTAGATATACTTAGAGAGAGAGAGAGAGAGAAAAAAAAAAACATGATGGACCCACGAACCCGGAAAGGGATATAGACATGTGGAGCATGGGCACGTTTTCACGATACCCAACGGGGCAACACCTCACGAAACATCCCACGAGACACCTCACGAAACATCCCACGAGACACCTCACGAAACATTCCGCGAGACACCTCACGAAACATTCCACGAGACACCCCGCGAAACATTCCACGAGACACCCCACGAAACATTCCACGACGACAGGCAACCACTCAACCACGGCGGTGTGGTCGTGCTGGGGAGTGGTCGTGCTGGGGTGTGGTCGTGCTGGGGGTGGTCGTGCTGGGGGGTGGTCGTGCTGGGGGGGTGGTCGTGCTGGGGGGTGGTCGTGCTGGGGCGTGGTCGTGCTGGGGCGTGGTCGTGCTGGGGCGTGGTCGTGCTGGGGTGTGGTCATGCTGGGGTGTGGTCGTGCTGTGGGAGGTCGTGCTGGGGTGTGGTCGTGCTGGGGTGTGGTTGCTAGGGTTGGGGTCTGGGGTGGGGTCGTGCTGGGTGGGGTCGTGCTGGGTGTGGTCCGTGCTGAGGTGTGGTCGGCGGGGGGGGGTCGGTGCGGGGTGTGTGGTCGTGCTGGGGTGTGGTCGTGCTGGGGTGTGGTCGTGCTTGGGTGGGGTCGTGCTGGGTGGGGTCGTGCTGGGGTGTGGTCGTGCTGGGGTGTGGTCGTGCTGGGGTGTGGTCGTGCTGGGGCGTGGTCGTGCTGGGGTGGGGTCGTGCTGGGGTGGGGTCGTGCTGGGGTGTGGTCGTGCTGGGGTGGTCCGCACCCTGTGATTCATCGATCGGGTCGTGCTGGGGTGTGGTCGTGGTGGGGTGTGATCGTGGTGGGGTGTGGTCGTGTTGGGGGGTGGTCGTGCTGGGGTGTGGTCGTGCTGGGGTGTGGTCGTGCTGGGGAGGGGGCGGGCGGGGGCGGGTCGGGCGGGGTGGGGGCGGGCGGGGGGTGGGGGGGGCGGAGGGTGGGCGTGCGGGGGGGGTGGTCGCGGGGGGGGTGGTCGTGCGGGGGAGTGGTCGTGCTGGAGTGTGGGCGTGCTGGGGTGGCGGGCGGGGGGGGGGCGGGCGGGGGGGGGGGGCCGGGCGGGGGGGGGGGGCGGGCGGGAGGCGGGGTCGGTGCTGGCGGGTGGGCGTGCGGGGGCGGGGGCGTGGCTGGGGGGTGGTCGTGGCTGTGGTGAGGTCGTTCTGGGGTGGTCGTGCTGGGGCGTGGTCGTGCTGGGGCGTGGTCGTGCTGGGGCGTGGTCGTGCTGGGGCGTGGTCGTGCTGGGGTGTGGTCGTGCTGTGGTGAGGTCGTGCTGGGGTGTGGTCGTGCTGGGGTGTGGT